ATGAGAAACATATTATGAGGTTTTTTCTTTATTTCAGTGTCTGCAATGATAATCATTCCAGTTGCTGATATGAGTTGTGAGGCTGGAGAAGCACTACACTAGGCTTGAGCCAGCACACCCTGCTTTTCAGCAAGGCTTGTTAGCTCAGCCATCCACCAACCTTGGGGCTCCCAGGGCCAACAGACTGAAACTGGCTTGCCACTGTAAGGGGAGAAAGCATCTGCCTGGGTGAATCTACTCAGGGAAATGCTGTGCAAGAGCTTAGTTCCTGTCTTTGCACACACAGGCACACACAGCTTCCTTTGTGCTTGGTTGAGGTGATTGCTTTTCGACTCTTGCTTCTGAAGACTTGTTGCAAGGGCGACTGCAGCCAGGAGCAGGCAGGAGACTGCTTTGCTTGGTTATCCAATATTTATGCTGAGTGTGCCTGGGGGCTGCAATGAGGGCTAGTTTCTGTTTGAGATGAGCCAAGAAGGTGTAGACTCTCCTCTGGAAAGCTTGTTTAAGACTGTGAAGAGGAGACAAAGGAAGCAGGATGTAGGTGAGGTTTTAATCCTACATTTGTAGATTATGAAAGAACCAGGTGGATGTTGAACACAAAGAGCTGGGAAACTTGGCACCAGGCCAACATCATTTAGGGAAAGCTAATTATATTTTATTGAATTTATTTCAGTGCAATAGATTAATGCCATTGATTAAGAGGCTTGAAAGATGATGTTTTTCTCTCAGAAATGAAACATTATGGGTTTAGTCCTTATTTAATTTCCTCAGAACTAAAGATAATTCTGTTCTTGTTAGAAGCATAGGTTAGATTCAATAGGTTAGAAGCATAGGTTAGATTCAATACTTCAAATAGTGCCCTTACGTCAAATACAGTTAAGTTTATCATTTTATTGCACCAATATTTCCACATATTTTTAAATCACAATCAGTCCTAGGATTTCAAATTATTAAGTTTGGTTTTAATTCTGCTGTGTCATTTGTAAGTTATAAACCTTTTCCCCATCTTAAGTTTTATCAAGTGCTATTTTCAGTAGTAATCATGAGATATTTGGAATTTCATTATAAATCACATAAGTGTCAAATTTTGAGTTAGGATTGGCTGTTACCTTCATCAGACATTTTCATAAGCACTAGTTTCCCTCCAGCTTCCAGAGACAGACAGGAATTTTCTTCCACTGATAAATTTTATCTCTTTATTTTTGAAATAGACATAGAAGTAGTTTTACACTACTTTACAATGTCAGGAAGGGGTCTAAGAGTATACATGAATTTGCTACAGAAATTGGATCATGTCTCTAAGGATCATCATACATAAGGAAACTATGCCCTAAGGTCATCGGCATTTAGTGTTAGCTCTGTATACTGTGATTTTAAAGACAGATCTGAAGACTGCTGTAGTAAGTGTGATATCCTTTATTCTGAATTCTTACTGGAAATTTTTAAAAAAGTATTATTCTTCTTAGAAGGAAGTTATATGAGCCAGTATCAATATGTACATTTTTTATCCCACGTGCTGTAAATTCTAGTTATTATGGAATAGGAAGGGTGTGTATAGAATTTTTAAAAAATCAAAGTAGGGGAGAGTCATACTTCTCTAGCTAATGGACTAGACATATTCTCTTAAGGTCAGATAATTTAATTATAATTATTTGGTGACCTCTTGAAGAAAAGATAATAATCCTTTCAGCTTGCAACCTAGAATCTTGTGTTCTTGCTGTGCTCTTGTGAGTTCTGGAAGAAAGAAAATATCAACAGTTTTGTAGGGGAACTTAGGCTAAAAAGGCTAGACACTGGAGCAAAGGATAAAGAGAAAGCTTAGTGTTTCTTTGTCTTATCTCTGTAGCCTATCTGATATCTCCATATTGGTATATGGAGGTGTGTATCTACCTGATATATTGCATAGTTTTGCACTCATTCTCCCATTGTAACTATTTTTACATTGTTTTCTGTGCTCTGACTAAAGAATAAAGAAGTTCCATCTCAATTTGAGTTTTTCTGAGGAGACAACTAAAAAAAAAATCAGTTAGCTTTGGTTTTAAAGAATCAGTGAATGCTGGCCATTCTGCAATAGAAAGCATGGTAACTCTGCTTTTGAAAAGCAGTGTTGTCCCACTAATACGACTTAGCTGAAGCTAAGTCATCAAGCATAACTAAGACCTGTGGATTACTACAGGATTTGGTATCATGATATTGATCCACGGAGTGCAGATTATTCCCTTGTTCTTCAGTCCATAGTTAGTTCCGGTTAGCTTTGTTATGGAGCGGCAAGTGGGCTAATGCATGTTGGCAGGACCATTTGGTCTTCTGAGGCTCTTAGCTGCCACACCACGCCGCTTTGGGTTTCCCTCCAGGGCACCATATTGCTCAGAACAAGGGAACAGAATGATCATTATCAGCTGTCACCTATTATATGTCTAGTGAGTGCCTAAGGATTGTACACATCTTCTTTACTTACAAGTTGACTGAAGTGTTTATCAGCTTTTCAAGGATGTCTGCATTTTCTTGAAAACAGTAAAAATCAAATTCAGACAAATATAGTGAAATTTAAACCCTTAAAATATGGGTTTTTTCCTTAATACAAGCCCTTATCTTCTTTGAAGATAGCAACAATTGGTAATCCTCCAAGACCCTGACCTTCCCCTTAACAAAGTATCTCTGATATTTTTTCTATCAGTTGTAGCTGTTTTACATGATTGTTGCATGTGTTCTATATTTAACTATCCAAGGTCTTTCATATTGAATTTATACTAAAAATGTTTTATCAAATATGTTCATTATGTTAAAGAACCTAGATAAGCCAGTGTGCCATATGAAGAGCTGCCAAACTCATTTTAATTTGTTGTGTGGGGGATTCTACCCCACACAAGACCTTAATCAAGTTAGATGTATGCATAATATCTGAGAGCAGGACTGAGGAGAACAGCTTGGAGATATTGATGGATGAGAAGCTCAACATGACCCTGCAATGTGCACTGGCTGCCCAAAAAGCTAAGATGTTTGAGGTCCCAACCCAAACCTTTCTCTGATTATATGATAATACAACTGTTGTATGTATTGGTGAAACTACTAGGATCTCTTCTGATGGACTTGCTTTATCTTGGATTATCAGGCAGATCTTCTCCTGGATACAGATCTGTCACCGTCTGAAACCAACTTACAGGTATAGGGCATATCCAGCAATAAATGAGAAAAGAAATCACAAAAATAAAATTTTGCTATACACTTGCCAGATGAAGCCAGGAAAATGCATTGGAGAGCTGCTTGCTAGGGCAGAGTAGTTTTCTCCCTAAGGGGTAAGACCACGCACTTAAAAATCTTAAAGAATTTTCTTAAATTGGGTTGACTGACTTGCTATTATCCTTTTAAGTTTATTTTGTTGCAGCATGTGCATATGTTCTTGAATATTGTATTTATTTACTAAAAAATTTGAAAAATTAACCTCCTTATGAGGGAGAAGAAAGCCTGCATGTGTGGGAAGGTATAGAATCATAGTAGCATAGTTTGGTTTGGGTTGAAAGGGACTGTAAAGATCCTTTAGTTCCATCATTCCCAGCTTTGGGCAGTACATTTTCCATTAGACCAGGCTGCTTAATTCCCCTCCCAGCCATGGAAGCTTCTGGCATTAGAGTAAACCACCAAACCCAACCTTTGAATGGTATCTAGAAACTTTGTGATACAGTATTTCTTCTCAGAAGTGAAGCATGAGCTTTGTGCCCTTTCCAAATTTGACCAGTTTGAAATAACTGTGTTCTTTTTTTCATTTTGATTTGAGTTTGTTTGAAACAAAAACAGCAGCACAAGAACATGACAAAAGCCATCCTAAATTCTCAGAGTTCTGATAAACTTAGGTGAAATTTCATTCTCCCTTCATGTGCTAAGACTTCTAATCAATATCCAGATCAAGTGTTCTTTTGCTGTAAAGAGTCACATTTGATAGTTGATTTTTATGTATAGAAACATAGCAGAAATGTGACTATTTTTAGCAACCCATATTTGCTTCGCTGATTGTCCTTTCAGACACGCAAAGGAACACAATTATTTACAATATGCCTTTTTCTTCTGTACCCAAAATACTTAAAGGCATCTCACAACAAATGTACTGCACAAGAGTAGTAGAGTCTCAGTTAATCTAGTTCTTTTCACTTGTCCTCATTTGCAAAGAAGGGATGGCCCAGTAGTTAAGTCATTCAGGTGCTGCTGTGGAGATCGATTTTATTGCTCTTAAGTTGTAGATTTCCTTTACAACTAGGACAAATCTGTCAGATAAGAAGAATGCCGCTCCATCTAACCAGGACATTGAGGGTGATTATATGTCCATCCTCAGATACTGTAGTAAGTGCTCAAAGACTATGAGAGAATTTTAGTAGTATTCTATAAAAAAGAAAATGTGATTGCCATACAGCAGATCTTGTAGCCTACAGTCAGTGTTGAAAACAAAGAATGAAACTTGAGTAAATTATTTAGTATCAAGCATTCTCTTTTAAATTGTCTGCTTTTTGTAGGGCAACATTTTTACTATGACAGCTTTTGTATCACACTATGAGATTTCTGTAAAAGCAACTGTGGTTGTCCTTACTATGGTCCATAATAATAGCATACAGCATGAGTGTTTTAAAGCAATTATATTGTTTAGACAAAACTGTTTTAATGAAGTCTGTAAAGACAAATTATTACTTATTTCTATCACTATAGTGCATATAACCTCAGTTTATGAAGGAGGATGGTAGGTGTGAGTGATTGGGTAGTTTGAATCACATATGTCTTTTGGAAGGACTGAGTGCTCTTCTCATTGCTTGTGAAACATATTGCACTAAGTCTGTCATCTGGCAGATGTGGACTTGATGATCCTTGTGGGTCCCTTCCAGCTCATCATGTTCCGCGATTCTGTGATTCCCAATGAAGTCGTCTTCATTTTACAGCACTGCTGACAAAACTTTGTTTGGTCCGAATTAACAGCTGAAGCATTCAGTACCTGTGGTTCTTTGTTTTTCTTGTAGGGTCAACGATTGCATCTTGCGAGTGAACGAGGTTGACGTGTCAGAAGTGTCACACAGCAAAGCTGTGGAGGCCCTGAAGGAGGCTGGTTCCATAGTGCGATTGTACGTGCGGCGAAGGAGACCTATACTGGAGACCGTCGTAGAGATCAAGTTGTTCAAAGGACCGAAAGGTAGATAAGAAATTAAAAAGACATGCATTTTCAGCTTGGTGTTTATCCTCTCTTGTAGCTTAAATGGCATCTGACCTTGTTGATTTGCTAACTGGTTGACCTGTCAAATACTGGAATGTAGTTCATTTAGGCTGGTAGAACTTGAATTCATGGTTATGTCTCTTCCTGAAATATAAAGGAGTTCATGGAGTTGTGGTTTGCTTCATTAGATGATTACTGCAGAGATGTCTCATTGCCTTCTAAAGACACACAGAGATACTATGTGGCAGCACATATACTACCTCTAAAGTTCCTCTGCTCAGACCTTTGAGTTTGATTTAAGGTGCTGTTGAATGTGGAGTTTCTGAATTCTTCCTCTTTTCAGAAGGCGTTTTGATTATCCAGCTTGCCCTCTCTACTTTCATTATGTTTTTTCCTAGTTACCTTTGGAACATGAAGACAAGAGTATCAACTTATTCAGATGCATAGAAGAATTTTATTTTATTCTTCAACAAAATTATTTGGAAATCTAGCGCAAAACCTCCACTAGTCTAAATGAGCTTTATTGCTTACCGCAGAACCTTCTGGTTAAAAAACAAAATGCCAAATTCCTTTCTAGAAGCATTTTTCTTCATAGCTTATTTGTGGACAAAGAAAATACTTATTTTTCCAGTACATGTGAATGTACTGGAATGTGAATGTACAGTTAATTTTTTTGATCCATAATAGCTATTTCATAAGCAGGTCTTTGTTAAATATATGTATATATTATGAAATGAAAACATTTGCATGTATCTTACTGTATCATATACAGTGTGCATGAGATTACTCTCCCTATTTTATCTATAGTGAATAATCCGCAGCTTTTTCAGTGTTCTTCTTTACAGGTGAATATTATAATATGCTTCTCCATAGGGCTTTTTAATAGCACTAGTGGAGTACATTCAATATATTGAGAGGTTGAGCTTGACCTCTAATACTCAACAAAGATAGTGCAATGCTGAAAACAGTGCACTGCAGTGTATTCATTATGCTCTGCTCTTGGAGAAGAGTAAGATATTTTTAAACAGGCATGTGATGGTAAATCCCTGAAAGTCTGGATTCTTGTGGTCAATTACGATGTTGGATTGTTTTTCTAACAGAAAAGCATTTCTGATGGTGTTTTGTATGCATGTGAATTCAGAGTAGAAGTGCAAGCAGTGTTTTTAAAGGTTTGGAATTAAACTAAGTGCATGATGTGATAGTCATTTTGAGAGACCTAAGGCTAAAGAAACTAAAATTAACTTGTCCTTTCTGGTTGTAATGAAGCAGTAAAAATTATTCACTGTGACCAAATTTTTGCTGCATTGTGAAAATGGACAGGAGAGGGAATCATTATCTAATAATGGGTTTGTGTTGTGTTTGTTTTGAGTGTATGCCTGAAACGATTTCTTTTATCACTCTCTTCAACTTCCTGAAGGGTGGCTGTGGTGAGCTGGGGGTCAGTCTCTTTCTCCGAGCAGCAACAGATAGAACAAGAGGACACAGTCTCAAGCTGCGCCAAGGGAGATACAGGCTAGATTTAAGGAGGAAGTTTTTCCCAGAAAGAGTGGTCAAATACTGGAATCATCTGCCCAGGGATGTGGTGGAGTCACCATCCCTGGATGTGTTCAGAAAAAGACTGGATGTGGCACTTAGTGCCATGACCTAGTTGAGGTGTTAGAACATGGGTTGGACTCGATGATCTTAAAGGTCCCTTCCAACCTAGAAATTCTGTGATTCTGTGATACAATTATTTTCAAAAAACATAATGGATACCAAAAAAGTGCATTTTAGGGCAAGCTGAAGAACTTTTGCTGCTTCCTGCTGAAAATATGATTTTATATCTATATTCTTATATAAAGTTTACTACAGATAAGTGCTATAAATATTTTTTTTTATTGTTAAGTTGAATATACTTTTTTTTTATTTTCACTTTTATAGCAACAAGTTAGCTGGAAACTTGGATAAAAAATAAGTTGATGGGCTAGTTTTCTGCAAAAGCCAGGGGTGTTACCTTCATAATTCAGGCAGTAAGGAAGCCTGCTCTGTTAGGCTTTCTGTATTCTACAGATAATAAAGCAAAATGAAGAAAATGAATAATTTATAGTTGGGATGAAAACCTTAACAATACTGTTTTTAATATCTAGATCATTTTTCCTTTGATTTTTTTCAAAATCTTCCATGAAAAAATTATCTGTTGAGAGACATCAAACTCTTAGCAGAAGTTGAGAATAAAACCCGTGACTCTTGGCTGTAGTCACTCCTGTGATGCTTATCTCCTCATATTTCAGGTGATTTATCTGTGAACTGGTCTTTCACACCATTACTATGCAATGGAAGAACCACTTAGTATTTATATAAACAGAGTTTCTTACTTCTCAGAGTGAAATTGGGATGTTTGGTGTCCAGAGCATGATCTGAAGACCAGCATGGTAGCTTCCACACCATTCCTTCTTTCCTACTCACAAATGAATAAAGAAAGTAAATCTGTTTTTTAGAAAAAAGGTTGTTCCATACCAAAATTGTAATAGCAAATATCTTTTAAATTATTTTCCTGACTGTCAGTATATAACCCAGCATTTACTGAGTTCATTCCTTATTGCCCTGAGAATTCACCACATGAAAGCATGTCTTGGCATCCCAAATACCAGGTCAACTCAGAGATCCCTAACTTGCCTAAGTAGTAGATTGTATCTTTCAGCACCTGAAGTTGATAAAGAAGGAAATTTGCAAGGCTTTATATATAGAGGACCTTTTAATTTCATCTGAGATATTCAGGATGAGGGCTTTTACAAGTTATTAGTCCATAGAAGTTAGGTTTTTTAAATGGGCATTTATTTCTGTAGCTAGAAACTGCCATATAGAAGACATTGATTAAGTTGGTGAATGTATTTGAAACATCACATATTGAGTAAGCATTGTCTGGACATGGCTTTGGGTGTGTGACAGGGAGAAGGGCATGGTCTTGTGGTGCCAGGAGGTCCCTTTTGAATGCAGATGCCCATGGAGTTGTTTCTGTTGCTTTACAGAAAGGCTCTCCTAGTGTCATGTGTGCTAAACCTGTAACCCTTTAGTTTTCTTTTTGGGGGGAGAAGAGGTAAACAAAGACCCAAATTAGTTGTGTAATAGGAAAATTAAGGGTTCAAAGAGAGCTTCAGCTGTGTAGGCATTTAAAGCTGATCATCGCTTTGACACACCTGATTGCGAATACCGGCAGATAGCCATGGTCTGTGTCTTGAAGGTAATTGCTGTCATACTTGCAAGCTCTTCCTCTCTTTCATGTGTTTGGGAGATTGTCTTTTGTATGCCTCTTGCATGTCTCTTCAGGCAGGTATACAGTTCACTGTATGGCTTTGCAAATGATTGAGTGGCCAACAGTAGGTGTTTTGTTTCAGTCACTCCCAGGGCACTGCAGATTTTAGCAGCCAGCATGTCTACAGTGGCTGACAGCTGTAACAGAGGAAAGATATACTTGCAGCTTTCTTATTTAAATCAGTGGGGTTTAGACACTACTGAAAATCCTGTCATTAAGTAATATGCTTTTCTTTCTCTGTATTGAAACAAGACTAGCAGTAATGAGAATGGATTGCACACGCTGCAGTGTTTTTTCCTGGGGAGCAAAATGCAGGCATTTAAAACAAAGCAGTTTAGTGGTGCTGTCTGTTTTGTAACATAATTTGTGCATTAGCTTCCTGTAAGACCCTGCAAGGAACTGTGTATGGGAAGTGAATTGTGGATTTCAGTGGCTGTTCAGGATTCCAGTGCTCTGTCCCATCTCATTGTGTTTGACTGAAGGATTTTAAACCAAAGTAGTTCCACTGACGTCAAGATTTTCATACTGTCCTGTCACACTCCAAATATTCTTTTACTAAATCCAGAAACATTGAGTAGTATGATGATGCACAATTAGTATGCTGATGCACAAGTGGTAGAAATTAAACTTGATTCGTTTTAATGTCATTTTTTTAAATGATCAGGAGAAAAATGTATTTCTACCATTGCAGAAAATTTCTGGTAGTCAGAAACCTGGGTAAAAACAGAGGTCATGTAAAATATTACCTACCTACTTGCCTACCTAGCTGATAATTTAAGCTCTGATATAATGTACCAGAAGGGGAAAAAAAAAAAAGGGCAGAAAATAAGGATTTTTGTAACTACAGCACTGTTGGATCAAATAAACTTTTGACCTCACTTCTGTAGGAAATGTGGTGTCTTGAAAGACATCAGAACTGCAGAAATGAAGTTCAGGGTATGTGAAGCAGAACAGCTGAGTACCAGGAAACTTCAGAGGAAAAATGTCAGACTGAAAAACACCCAAAAAAAAGGAGCAACATAAAGGACAGCTAATTTTGCTATCTGGATATTCTGGTGGCTTGAGCATCCAGTCATAGAGAGACAGGATTACTTTCCCACACTGTTCATGGTAATAGTGCCTATCATTACAGTGTTTGAGCTGTGTCAGGATCTTGCCATGATGACTGGAGCTGCCCTTCTGTTCACGACATTTAAATAAAAAGGCTCTGGACACACCAGCAGTTCTGTCACTTTTTGGTTTCTAAAAGCATACTTTTTGCTCATTCCTGATGAATTCAGCCAGTGACACATTCTTATGACGTCCACCTCACACAGCTTTGGGCACTAAAACATGTTTAGGGGCACTTAATTCTCTACTCTTTCTGCTCTCAGAATTAGGGCCATATCAAAACTTTTCTTTTAATCCATTTGGAGTGTGATTATATTTTGGGGCGTCAGATTAAAAATTAATGCATCTCTTAAGCACTGTTCAGCCCCATTTTGTATCTCCCTCTGGATGGCTATTCTTCTTATCTTAAATTTCTTCATCAGCAAAGACCAAGCTCCTAAACCAGACGTCTTAATAAGATATGCAAAGATAAAATAGGATTAATATAAAGGGCATAATGTGCATTTATTTTGAGAGTTATGTATATCTGTCTAAATGTTACACTACGTCATTGGGCATAACCAGTTCCAGAGTCTCC